TGCCGGCGGACAGAGGCACAGCCGCAAGCAGATCCATAAAAAGAAACGAAGAAAGACAACAGTTGGAAGTACGACGCCGCATGGAGGCAGCGAAGAATGAGGAAGAGGGACCGTGCCACGCCTGCAGCAAGATCAGGCTTTCACTTTACGTTGTTGCTCTGGAACATCCGCGGCAGGCAGGTGGAGAAGGACATCACCACCGGCACACCAAACTGTTCCAGCACACTCCGGCTGCTGGTGTAGCAGACGCGCTGCGACACTTCCCCTCCCTCACCAGCCGCCGGCGCTGCGTCCGCGGGCCGTGCACGAGTGCAGTGTGGACGTCGACGTTTATCCATGGACCTCCCCACGTTGTACGCCGCCGCGCCTCCCGCAGAGGTTATTAGCATCGACCCCGCCGGGTTGTGTTCCCCTACCGCCGCCGCTGCTGCCGCCGCACGAACTTCACGTGCTCGTTTGTGCGCCACTTGCAGCCGCTCCTCCAGCGGTATCGTTGGCGGCGGCCGAAGCCGAAGAGCCGCCGTCTTCGGGGCGGCTGGCGTGGCGGTGCCCTTGCGCCGCGGCACGTCTCCGCCCATGCGCCGCAGTGCACGCTGGCGCTCCTTCTGGCGCTCCTGCCGCTCCTCGCGCCGCAACATCGCCTCCGTCGTCACCTCCGCGCCGTCCAAGACGCCCTCCACCTCCTCGTCGGAGAAGTCGCTGTCGATCTCGTCCATCGCCTCCTCCCCGCTGCTGCTGAAGGTGCTGTCGGTCGTGGCGTCGCTAAGGTCGTTCAGCAGGTTCTCCTCCTCCGAGTTGAGCCCCTTCTCAAGGAGCTCCTGCATCATGCTGCCGCGGTTGGCGCGCCGCGGCCGCCGGCTGTCCTCCACGTCCCACTTCCCATCGTCGGCAGCGGTGCTCATCGCCGGTTGGCTGCGGCCGCCGGGCTCAAGAGCCGTGGCCGCACACAATCACGCACGCGCGTCGCAACGGCTGCCGTGAAGAGACGAACAATAAGAGAAAAAGAAGCGAGGGAGGTGGCAGCTCTCAAGGGCAACAGCAACCACAGGGAGAGACACGACGGTGATTGTCGCGGTTCGGGGCAAGCAGCAGCAGCAACAGCGGAAATAACAGTCAGAGCAAAAGAAAAAAAGAAACGAAAAAAAAAAGTGAATTACGGACAAAACGCGGGTGGGTGTTGGTGGTGGTGGGAGGGCGGTGATACATCGGCTGCGTGCGCCTCCGCGGGGCGGCCACCCCGCCCCTCCCATTTTCTTCCCGCTTCCTACCTGCTCACGAACTGTAGAGCGAATGCCAGCTGCCTCCCTCGCTTCCTCCCATCCCCGCTACCCCGCCCGGGATAAAGGGCCGCGACAGCCCGTGAGGGAACATGCCATGAATACTACACCCCAACGGAGTTCCTTTTCCCTCTTTTTTTCCCCCGATTTTTTTTTATTTGCTTTTTCTTTTTCTTTTTCAATTTTCTTCTTCTCCTTTTCATTCATTCTACTCGCCTCATCGCAATTCCCGAAGCCCCCACCCCTCCTCGTGGCGAAGTGATGGCAATGGGACGGTGGGGTGCCGATCGCGCTCTCGGAGACGGTGCCAGACAACTTCGTCTCCCCCACTCCTCCCTGCTTAAACTTACTGTTCCTCCGCTTGGCTTCGCGCCCCATCACAGCCCCCTTCTTCTGGCGCTGCCCACGCCCTTTTGGGCGGCGGGCGGAGGAGGACGCTCGCCACTCCCTGCCCAACCATCGAGCCTCGTTGCCGCGGCGTTTGACAGCCTTTTCCTGCCTCGTTATTGTCTGAGGGATTTCCTTTTCCTTTTTTGTTTTTGCTTCCGCCGCTCTCCCTACCGGTCCATGGAGCCAAGTATCTGGGCAATGCGCACAAAGATGTTGACGACGTTCAGGAACATTTGCAAGGCGTCCTGCACGTAGTCGCCGGCCCCGCAGCGGGCCCGCTCAATCATGGCCTGCGTATCCACCGACACGAAGAGGGAGAAGAGGGCGAGGCCGCCGTACAGAATGAGGGAGTGAGCAAAGGCAGTTGGGTAGAAGAGGTTCAGGATCGAAATCGCCACCATGCCCATTAGCATCCCGAAGAGTGGGCCCTGCAGCGCCAGCAGAGAGGCACGGGGGGCTAAGAGGGCGGCGGCGCTGAAACCGAAAAACACCGCCCCCGTGAGGACAACGGCGGTGCCAAGAACACCTTTAGCCAGCGTCATCGCCACCAACGGCGCCAGCGCCATTCCCTCTAGCAGAGTGAAGGAAAAGAAGAGGGCCAGCTTCAGCGTCGGGTCCCGCGGTGGGGCAAAGGAGAGCCACAGCAGCGGCACAAACCCACCCATCATGGGCAGCCAGAACGGCATGGACTTTCCTAGGGGCGTGGCAAACATTAGCAAGGAGCCAACGCCGGCCACGGCGGAGCCGGCGGCAAGAAGCCCGTAAACCTTCGAAAGGTGCTGTCGGACGTACGGCGTCAAACTGTCGGCGGTGTTTCCACCCCCGGTGTTCTCACCGCCGTAGCTCATCGGCGAGGTGACCGGCTTGACCCACTTTACACCGCGCATGCGCCGCAGCGGCTGCAGGGAGAACTCGCGCCGTGAGAGACGGATAGTCGGCGGAGCCATCAGCGATGTCTCTTTCAAAGCAGGGCAACCGCGCGGCCGTGGCTGCTGAAAGCACCTTCCCGCAATCGAGATGCTAAGCCCCGCCGCCATGCCGAGAGTGCGGGAGGTGGCGCAGACGTTGAGCCGACGCAGCATCTTTGTTTTTTTCTTCGCTTTTACTCCACACACACTCTCTCTCTATCTCTCTCTCTCTCTCTCTGTGTGTGTGTGTGTGTGTGGATCTACTCCCCCGCTAGTGTGAGACAACGTTTTAAATACTCAACTTCTTCGCTTGTCTCCCTCCGTTTCTCTTCCCTTTGCGTGGACCGCTATCGCGCGCGCTAACTTCCGCTAGGCCTTTCACACACACACACACACACACACAGACAAACAAAAAAAGGTTGGCAAACAGCAACAGCAATAAACACAGACACACACTCTCCCTTTCTCGCCCAAGCAGAAGCAAAAAAGTTCCCGTCCACCCGGTTGAAGACCAGCAACAAAAAGGGAAAATAAAGACAAAAGAAAAAGCAGCAAGGGCTTACACCCGCCAGCAAAGCACAGTGATCACAGCCCCAAGAGTAGCGTATACGTATATGCCTCTCGCTCTGGTGGAGACCTTCACCCTCGTCTTACTCGATGTCGTCGCTGGGGCATGCCGCTGCTCACTGCAGCGGAGCGGTGGGGCAGCGGCGGGCGTTACTGATGGTCCTCCTGAGTGAAGCCCGACGCGACACTCCTCCTCGGCTCGTTTGCTGCGCCGCATACACCCACCCACACAGACACACATAGGAAGAGATGCATGTTTTTTTTTTTTATATCATTGCCTTACTTCTTGCCTTGCCTGTGCTTCTTCTTTCTCGCAGCCGCGGCAGGGCCTTTTTTCTTGTCGCCGCCCTTTTTGGCCTTCTTCGCCTTCGTAGCCGCCGCCGCGCGGGGGCGCTTCGTTTCACGCTTCTGTTGTTTTTCCTTCTCTTTTCCCTCCCGCCGCATCCGCGCGGCCTGGCGCGCCATCGTGCGGTCCTCCACCACGGTGTTCACCGACTGCTGCAGCTTCTCCATCCGCCCCGCCCACTTCTTCGCGGAGCTGCGTTTTTTGTTGCGCCGCCTCGCCAGCGCCTTCGCCAGCCGCTTCGGGTCGTCCTTCACCTTCGCCCCGGCCGCGCGGCGCAGGGCGACGTCAAGCAGGTCCGCCTGCCGCCTCTCCAGGCCCGCCGCGGAGCCGAGCTGTGAGGCGTGGGCCGCCGTCTGCCGCTTGGCGTGGCGAAGCAGCGAGGCCAACTCCCGCGCGCCGCCGCCGCGCCGCCCCACGCTCTTCATCGCCTCGAACTCAAAGTTGCCGAAGGAGAGGTTGAGCGGGAGGGCGCCCTCCCCCGCCCCGGCGGCCGCAGCCCCCGTCGCCCGCGGCGCCGATGCAGGACGCCCGCGGAAACCCATGCGGCAGCCTCAGCGAGCTCACTGGCCGTTGTAAAGGCAGAGATGCAAAAACAAGGAGGAGGACGAAGATGCATCTGCGCATGCAGCGCGGGGGAAAAAAAGGTAAAAAAAAGCAGAACGGGACGGGACAGACGTCGTGCGGTCAAACATGTAGAAAAAGATGCAACGCCACGGCCCATGCGAGGCCCGCGCTTGAAATGATGGTGAAAGATATATGCATGCGTGCTGGGCGGCGCGGGGCACACACATCTCGCTCTCTCTCTCTCCCCCCTCAACGTAAACACACCCGGAGAGCATACCTCTCAGCAGTCGTAGCTGTACTGTGCCTGCCCCACCTTCCCAAGAGGGCCAGAGCGGCGCCTAAACGCAACCGGCTTCACCGTGTCAGCGCTCTCATTGGTGAAGCGGAGGGCGAGCAACGCGTACTCCGCCTCCCTTAGGTGGTGCACCACGACGGAGCGAGACGTGACAGGCGCCCTATTGGAGCCCGCGTGAACATCGTGAAAGCGGCAGGTTTTTTCAATCACGAAGGTGATGTTCGGCTGTCGCATCTCGTAGAGGGCCCGCCCCAACATGACATCCTCGTGTTCGGCATTGAGGGAGCTAAACCGGGCGGCCTCCGCCGTGCCGGAGGAGTCGAGAGGGGAGTCTAAGAGACGCTGCAGCGGCTTGAAGGCGGTGATGGCCTCCACCACGTCTCTTGCCATTGTGATGCACATGCCGCCGACGAAGTAAAACACCTTTCTGCGGTTGCCCTTCTCGGGCAGCCACCGCATAACTCGCCCCCAGTACACCCCACGACGCGGCAGCGCGTGCAGGTCGGCAAGGAACTGTGGAACGCGAACAAACACGTCATCGTCGGCCTTTGCGATGTAGTCCGCGTGGGGAAAAAGACGGAGCGCGATGGTGTACCACGTCATAGACTTGCGGCTCGTGCCGACCTCCGCGGCCAGTCCCCAGTGGCCGCTGCCGCCAATGCGCTTCTGTGTCGTGGGGCGGCCGTCGTTCATGGCCAGCGTCAGCACATCTTGCGAACGCGTGGCTTCCTCCCGCACGGCCGGCGAGTAAACGTAACCCTGCGCGAAGTGGCGCCCCAGCACAAACAGGACCAGCATCTCCCCGGTAAAATTATTCGCCCGCGTCGCGACCCCGGCGTAGCGCAGCCACGACGCACGCTGCAGGTCACGGCGCCGCCTGTGCGGCGGGCTGTCCACTGACGGGACGCCAAGCACAACCAGAAAGCGCCGCCCGCGCCACGTCTGCCAGATACCGTCGGGGACGCGGCGCAGCACCGCCCGCGCACTCCCCGCGGGGGGCCGGCGGGGCGCATCCGCAGGGACCGCGTCCATCGAAACGGGCGCCAGCACCGCCAGCACCACCAGCGCGCCCACCAGCCCGAGGAGGAGGGGGACGAGCGTTGCCTTCGCCCGGCGACGCGGTGCGACGCGCGACATCCCTCGCGGCCGCCTCCTCCTCGCCCCAAGAGAGAGAAAGAAAAAAAGAAGCAGAAAGAAGAAACGGGGCCCAAGTGAGAGCGGGAAGAAGAAGAAGAGTGCGCCAACCGACGAACCACTTGTGCAGTCACTCAATCAAACACACACACACACACACACACACGCACACACACAGAGGGAGGCCGCAGTTCACGCTTCGCCCAGTTTGCCGAGATGCTCACCGAGTTTGGTGGCAAGCAACTCTGCCTGCCGCTGGCGCACGGTGCGGGGAAGCAGGTGGCCGTGGCGCTTCATCTTGTCCATCCACGCCACGAGCTCCTGCTCCAACTCCTGCTGCTGCTGCTGCTGCTGCTGCAGCGTGTGGGTCTCTCGCCCACACAAAGTGCCCTCAGCCGCCACCGTCAGTGCCTCAACCCGCACTGACCTTTGGGTGAGTGGGTCTACGAGGTAATCCGATGGGAGCTCGCAGCCAAACACCAACGCGGCAGCCACCGCCGCCACCGCCTTGCTCTCCCCCTCCTCTTCCCTCTCCCCATACAACCTGCCGTCCGCGTTATGCCCCGTCGCTGGCTCGTCGTCCTCCGCCGCTTGCTGTGCTTCTTGCTGGGGCGCACTGGCCGACATCGTCCGGAGCGGCCAGACGTGCTGCTCCACCGCTTCACGCAGCCGCGTCGCGCCGTCCACTTCGCCCACGCCGTACAGCACCTCAATCGGCGTCACGGCAGCAAAGTCGCTCTCAGTGTCGCTGCTGACGACATCCAAGGCTTCCGCGGACCCGCCGCTGCCGTCTTCACGCACGGCGGACACGTCCCCTTCGGCTCCGACTGGCGCCGTGTCACGTGTTGCTGACGCGGCGCGAAGCAGCACGCCATCAACACGCGCGGCGAGGGCGTCGTCAGCCTCGTCGCCGTCTACGACGTACCACACGTACACCGGTGTCGCCTCCGCCGCTGCGCACAGCCGAGGCGTCATGTCCCCGCCGTGCTGTTCGTCGTGGAGGAGGAGGAGGCACTCGGGGTCGCCGATGCCGCGGCGGGCACGCTGGGCGCCGTAGCACCTTTCAAGCGCCGCTTGCACCGCGGCGCAGGCCGACGCGTCAGACATATCCTCCGCCCTCGTCAGGAGAGCGACGACGCCAAACGTGTGCAGCTGCGAAACTGCGGGTTCGGGCTCCCGCATAACGGCGCTGCGAGCGCCACCGAAGGAGTGAACACCGACAGTGGCGTCAAAGTACCGATTGTGCACAGTCATCGTCGTCAGCGGCGCATCCATGGAGGCAGACCCCGTCGAGGGAAGCGCCGCCGTGCTGTGGTCCAGAGCCACGGAGAAGCACATGTGGAGGGTTGCGCGGAAAAGCTGCTCCTCCTCCAGAGCAGAGGCGGCGCACGCCCACAGCAGCACACGATTCGCCGGCTTTCTCGCGGCCAACGAGGGCGACGTCGGCCCCGGTGTCTGTGGCGCTGACGGGAGAGGGGTGCGCTGCGGCCACTCAACTGTGTGGATAATCTCCGCAAGCCGGTCCGCCCCAACGGTGCCAAACGCACGTGCCTCCGCCTCATCGCGTGGCGACTCCCCCCCCGCCATGCACACCACCTCTACTCCCTGCTCCTCGCTGTAGTGCAGCTCAAAGGGAGACAGGGACTCACCCGCCCTTCGGGTGAGCAGGACGCAGTCGTCGACGCCCCACCGACGGAGGTACTCGATGAGGACAGGCAGTTGCGGGGAAGCCGCCCTCTCCCCTGCCTGCCCGGGGGGCGTCGGGGGCCACGGCACAATGGCCAGCTTCGGCCGCCTGTCGCCGTACTGGGCCAGAAATAGGTCGGCCATGGCGGGGCAGAACAACGCGGGGTGCAGGCACTGCGCCTCCACTACCGCAGTGTAGTACTTGTTGACAAGCCCCAGCGTCTGCGACTCGCCTTCCCCCGCTCGCCTCCAGGAGCGGGTTTCTCTTGGCTCCCGCGCCGCTGCCTCCGCCCTCAACGGCCACGGGGCGGTGAAGAAGCGACGGTCCCTGCCCGCCGCACAGAGCCAATGGAGGACGTCACCCCCACCGGCGCCTACAACCACCAGCAGGTTCGTGGCAACCGCACGGCGCCCTGCCGCCTGCTCATCGGCGCCCCTGCCGGCCCCGTTGGGTACGCGACACGGCTCTGGCCACATTGTGTTGTGAAGAATCTGACTCACCCGCGCGGCGCCTCGATGGTCTCCCCCAAGCAGGCCGCTGCGCCCCACCTCTGCCGACAGCGCCTCAAAGCCCTCCGAGTGCGGCACGTACTCAAAACCGTTGGCCACGCAGGCATCGTACCACGTCTCCTCACGCACCTTCGCGCCGGCCGCGGTGAAGTTTACCACAACGCGGAAGAGACACGAAGAGGGAACGCGGTGCCAGGGGACTTGATCCGGGTGCACAGAGCCGTCGACGAGTAACGCCCAGCCCGCCTTGTTCACCGACGGCGGCCGCAGCAGCCTCGACACCAGCGAGTCATCCGCCGCGTCTGCCACCTCGGCGGCCGTCAGGACATCACTGTCAGTGATCACGACACGAACCCGCGCGGAGAAGTACTTGTTGCTGATGTGGAGGCTGGGGAGGGTGGCGCCCCCGCCACCGTGCACACTCGCCGCAACCTCCTCAGGCCAGCGGAGGAGCTCGGCCCCGAGCTGAAATGCCTGGCCTCCCCCACTGCCGCCGTGGCACTCCACAAGGAGTAGGTAGCCGGAGTCCGCGGCGGGTGCCAGAGGCGAGTTTGGCCGTGAGCCTCTTGTCATGTGCGTGGGGGGCAACCACCTCTGCGTGGGAGCTCCCAGGTGTAAATGAAGCGCCCTTCTACCCCAAGCGGAGAAGAGGAATGGTAACAGCGGCAGAAGCCAAATGGAGTTGTTCACAGGCACAGACGGTGGGAGGTGCTTCTCTGCCGCAGGCCGAGTGCTGCCGCTCTCGGGGACGCTGCCTCCCCGCTTTAGTTCTCATCGCTTCCTCATGTGAAAGGAATACATACATACAACAGACAAATAAGTAAATAATAAATCGCACACGCATACAAACACACAAAAAACAACAACAAAACAAATAACATCTAGGGGGAATAAGAGTAAGAACAATAGGCTGATAACACTTAAAATAGCCCATAGCGCGCTTCACCAATGCTACCATCACCACAAAGCCAAAGGAGGAGTAGGGGTTGAGAAGGGAAAGACGGATGCCACGACGAAAAGGAGCATCCAGTGAAGTCGTCCAGCACCCACGCACCAGCTTACACGCATGCACGTTATCCATAGGGTTCTAGTAAACAGCAACACCCCCACGTATCAGCCGCATCAGACTCTCGTCGCATCGACGGCTTCGCGTAGCGACTACAGTTGAACTCCGCTTCGGTGGATGCGGAAGCGTGAAGTCCGAGGAGGCCTGCATCAGCTGCTCCACCGCGGGGTTCGCTGCCTGACCTCGAACTACCAGGCACGTGCGATGCACCCGGACTGGAGGTGGCAGTGACAACGGCGATGGATAGGGTGTGGCGCGGCAGACGTTATGCGGGGCGGACCGCGCCGAGGAGGATGACTCCGGGCGCCGGAACCCAGCGGCGGCACCAGCAATAATGCGCCGCGCCAACGTCGGTGTAGAACTGGCGCTGATGGGAGTTGCCTCCCTGCCGCTCCACAGCACTTGGGTGGAGGCAAAGCTGGTGTGGTCCTCCTCGTCCTTCTCGGTTAAGGTGGTGGCGAGGGTGCTAAAGTCCATGGAGGGGCTGCGCAGAAACCCTGTCCGCACGTGCCGCCCATAGTACTCCCTGGCCTGCTGCAGCCGCTCAATGCGCCGCAGCACGCTGAGGTGGTGTCGCGCGGAGTTCAGCTGCTTGTCAAACTCATTCTTTCCACGCACCCACCGCAGCTGCGCATGGGCGTCGTACCCGTTGCGCGAGAAGGACGAGTAGAGAGGGGAGCTCTCCGTGGATTGCCATATTATGTACGGCTCCGTGCGGTTCCGCACCTTGTGCTCCGCCGTTGCCGGCGGCCGTGGCACGTAGGAGGAATAGTCCACCGGCGCCACCCGCTTGCCGTGCATGGTGTGCCGCGCTCCACACACACACACACACACACACACACGCTGCTTCTGGAAGGGAGGGAGAGTTAACTATCTACGCCAGGTGTGTGTATATACGTACGTATGTAATATCGGGCCTAATGTATACCGCGCCCACACTCAAACCGCACAGCTCCCGCGACGCACGCAAGTCGAAGAAATAAATCAAAACAAAACAAAAAAATAGCGTCCTTTGGCCACAGCACTACAACGGCAGCAAGAACAGAAAAATAAATAGAGAGGAAACATAAAAGAAGAAGAGTGGGGATGATTCAGAGATAATGCGTTGCATGCGTCACCGCCAGTTTCCAAAAAAATGCAAACAAACAAACAAACAAAAAAACAAACTCCCCACAGCCCATCACGTGGGCGCGCCAGGTTTTCTTCTTCTCAAATTAACGTAGTACACTATCGATAGGTGCTCCCCCCTTCCCTCCGGGAGAACGAAAAAAAAAAGGCAAAACACGGAAGCAGTTCATTGACCCTTCAACGCCAGGCGCATGTTCGTGGCCCTCTCAAGCGCCTTCAGAAGCTCACCCCGCTTCTTGCCCGCCTGAGCGTAGTACGCCAGGACGTTGCCCTGCGCCACACGCTGCGCCTCTACGACGGCCGCAACCTCCACCTCGCTGCGTTGCCGCATCTCAGCCGCGCCTTCACCGCCCCCGTCGCTCGCAGCGGCGTCGTCACGGCTCCAGTAAAGAAGCGCCGCCCGAAGCTGCTGAAGGCGCCGGGTACAAGCATCGTGCTCCACCTCGTACGTTTCCGTGACGCGCGCGACCTCCGCGTTCAACGCCGTCAAGCGCTCCTGCAGCTGGCGGATGACTTCATCGAGCCGCCCAGTTGCTGACGAACTTCGCGGGGTCGGCACCAACGCATAGCCGCCACCACTGCCACTAGCGCCACTGCTGCTGCCCGGACCACTGCTACCTCCGTGGCTGCACTTCGGCTCCTGCCGCTGCGCTAGTGGCGCAGTGGTAGGCGGAGGACTCCGCACGGCGTGCGCGCCCTCCAGCTCCCGCCTCAGCGCACGCTCCTTCACCCGCAGCTGCTCATTATCAATCTTCAATCCAAAGATCTCCCTTTGAGCCACTGCGAGACGGCGCTCCGCGTCGGACACGAGTTCCTGCCGTGTGGCCTTCTCCTTCGTTGCGGCAGTCCGCAGCAGCTCCAGCTCACGCTGCAGCTCTTGACAGTGCAGCAGCGCCTCTGTGGCCTCGCACGCGCGCCTCTCCCCCGCTTCCCGCACCTTGGTTAGCTGCGACTGGTAGAGATCCTCGCGAAGGGATAGTTCCTGCTGCAGCCGCTGCTCCGCGGCGCTGCGTTCTTCGTCGACGGTCCGCAACGCCGCCGCGGCGACCTCCCGCATCCACAGTTCCAGCTGCCGGACGTACGCTTCGTCGCGCCGGCCGTGCAACTCCTCCTCGGCAGCTTCCGGAGTGGGCGTGAACCCCGTTTGCGGTTCTTCCTTCTCGACGCCCAGGTGGCTCTCGGCGGCCACGCCGCTGTCGCACGCACTGCCAAGCCCACTCTCCGTCGTCGCCTTGCCAACGCTGCAGGCGCCACTCGTGAGCTCGGGCGTCACTCGGGCGTCCTCGTCCGTCGCCGCGTCCTCGGAAGCCGGCGAGGCAGAACTGCGTTCCCCGCCTCCGCCCGCTCGCTGCCCGTCTCCCTCTGCCGCTGCCAGGCGATGGCGCAGCAGCAGGAGTTCCTGCTCAAGGGCCAGCCTCTCCGCAAACGCCACACTCAGCTGATCGGCCAGCTGCCGCTTCTCGGCCTCGAGTGAGACGACGACGGGGTTCACAGCCGTGCTTGCATTCCTCTCCTGCTCGCGCGGCGTGCCGGCCAGTCTCGTGGTCTGGCGAAGCGTGGCGTTCTCAGTGCGGAGGCGGTTGCACTCCTGCTGCAGCTCACGAAGTTGAAAGCGGAGTTTTTCATCCACCAGGCGCGCCTGCAGTCCCTCCTTCTCCGCACGCAGGAACTCCACCTCCTGCAGCGCCTGCGAGCACCTCCGCTGCCAGACGGCGATGTCTCTCTCGTGGTCGCATGACATGCGCTCCAACAGGGCGAACTCGCGGGCGCGGTTTTGCTCAAGCGCCTTGAGACGATTCCCGACGAGGGTCAGCTGGGACTGCGCGCCTTGAAGCTCCTCCCAACACGCCACTCTCTCTGCCTTTAAAAGAGCACACGCATTGGACTGCGCCGCCACCTCCGCGCGTGCGTCGTCCAACTGCCGCTGCAGTTCTATTTGGGCCCGTGCGGCACCCTCTTGCGCCGCCCCCTGCCGCTGCTGCAGCTCCGCGACGAGTTTGTCCTTTGCGTCACTCAGTCGCTGCGCCTCCACCAACAGTTTCTCCGTCTTTGGAGCCGTGGGCTCGCACACAGCCAGCCGCTCCGCCACCTGCTTCACGGCCAGCAGCATTGTCTTGCACCCCGCGTTGAAGAGGAAGGCGCCCTCCTTGAAGTCCCCCAGTTTGGTCTCCACGCTGACGTCGTCCGTCCTCGACCCCTTCTTGAAGTACCTGTCCACCTTGGCCACGGCCTCACGCACGTGCTGCTCGAAGGCAGTTATGGCCTCCTGTAGCTCCCGCTGGACGGAGGCGACGGTCGCCGGCGCCGCCGCCGTGTCCATTTCAGCGCGAGATGGGCGAGGCAAGTGGGCACAGCTGCCTTCTGCGGGGCGGTCGCCTCTGTGTGTGTTCCAACGCCTTTGCCGCAGAGAGAGATGAAAAAAAAAACGAGAGTGCGAGAGACGCAGCGATGCAAATTTCCACGCACACCCTCTCTCTCTGCGTGTGGGTGGGCGGGTGTGTGTGTGCCCCCTCCCCCGCACGGAAGAGGGCCGCGAGCGCAAAAGCCTTACAGGAGCTGTGAAGACAAAAAAAAAGACACGACACACCAAAACAAAGTCAAGGCAGACCATAAAAAGAAATGTGAGGTGTAGGCCCGCATCCGCAGGCGTGCGGGTGTGCGTAATTTATGTGAGCATTCCTTTCTCTTTCTCCCCAGAAAACAAAACAAGAACAAGGTATGTATGCATGTTTTCTTTGTTCCCTTCCCTTCCCTTGTCTCTCTCTCTCTCTCTCTCTCGCCTGCTGTGGGGTTAGGAGAAGAAGTACGGCGAGTCGAGCACCACGCTCAGGTCGAGTTCGCCACGCTTTGGTGGATCCGGCAGGAGCGTGCCGTGCCGCCTGAGGTCCATAAAGTACGCCTCCTCCCACTGCTCCTTCAGCTCCCAGAGCGGGTCGTACTTGCTGTAGAGCGTCACGAACTGCTGCCGCAGCACCTTGCTCAGCACGGGGAGGTCGCAGGCGTACGTCCAGTAGCTGTCGTGCACGGCCATCATGGAGAGACCGATGTTTTGCATCTCAATCGCCGTCATCGCCAGATGAGTGGCGTCAAGCGAGTGAATCAGGTTGGGGGCGATGGCCGTCAACTGCTTTCGGCTCGCCGCGGAAAAGGCGTCGCCGGGCACGCGCGAGCACCCGTGTGGCGTGAAGAGAGTGATCTCCTTCCGCACCTTGTACGGCTGCCGCACCACGAGGCCGAGCGGGGTGGTCCAGCAGAGCGCCGTGCGCAGCTCCGCGGGCTGCGACTCCCAAATCAGGTTCGTGACGTCCGTGATCCAGCGTCGACAGTTCTGTGTCTCGCGAAAGGTGACGCCAAGCGACTCCAGCACCTTCTCCCGCAGGTAGTCTGCCATCTCCCGCATGTCGGTCGAGGTCCACAGGCCGTGGTTCTTGTTCTGCTTCACCAGCTCGTCTAGGATCTGCTCCGACATGCCGTAGCCGGTCACGCCGTAGACCTGCGTCATGATAGGCCGCTTAATCGTCTTACGCTTGACGTGGTTGCAGTCCTGCCCCTTCCCCGTGCCAAGGCAGCGCTGCGCCACGGGGTTGTCCTTGTCCGCGTCCGCCGTGATGGACCGCATCATCTCCTTTAAAATACCGGTGTAGGCGTCGGCCGGCCGCTCGCTCGGCACCAGGTTGACCAGCTGCGCGCCAAAGGCGTCGCGGCCAATGGCCGAGTAGTGCTGCAGGCCGTTGTAGCTGCCGTCCACGGCAACCGGAATGCGTGAGAGGAAGTTGGTCGCCCCCTGCGAGCACTTGAGCGCGTCCGCCAACTCCTTACAGGCCATGAGACACTGCATCGGCTCGGCGGCCTCCTGCCACCACTTGTCGCCGTGCAGCGGCGACTCCGCGCTTCGCACGACGTCCTCAATGTGCTCGTTTACATAATGCACTCGCTCATCGAAGGAGAGCTTGCTCATCCCCATCTTGTTCGCTAAGTGCACCTTCAGCCAGTACAGCCCCGTCTCACCGAGTGGCTTCGGCTCCGCGTACTCGAGTAGGGCCCGGAAGGGGTCCGACCCTGTGTGATTCAGCCGCCCCGGCAGTGGATACATGCGTCCACGGAAGTCCATGCTATTTGGGAAGTATATGTGCGAGAACTGCACGAGCGAGCGGGCCTGCCGGAGCGCCTGCAGATAGTGGATGCGGTTGCTACGCTGCTCTGAAAGGCTCTTCCAATCCTCGTCCTGCTGTGTCTCGTACTCACGGCGCTGCTGCAGGTTGTAGACCTCACAGTCGTCTTGGTCGTCGGCACCCTCCGCGGCGTCGTAGGAAATATCCCCGCGACTCTTGGCGCAGTAGTGCAGCGGGTAAAAGGCGGGGCGAATCTTCCCGAAGCCGTAGCCCTCCCTCACAATAGCCTCCTGCACGTGCAGCATGTACTTGCTGATGCGCCACGGTACGCGGGAGATCGCGTCTAGGGCCTTCATCATCGGGGCCTGCGAGATGATCATCGCCTGGTTGGTGCTCCCCTTCACCGCGACGGAGGGGAGAACGTTGTACACCGACTTCTCCTTCGTGTCTGACTGGTGCAGCCATGAGTTGTAGGAGAGCTGCGGGGGGAAGGCAACCCGCAGGTCACGAATCTGCGTCGCCTCCATGTCAGACATGCCCACGATGGAAAACTCCTCCCGACCAGTCACGCTGACGAAGCGCTCCAGTATGGGGCGGCCGCTGCCGGCCACGCTCCCGCTGCTCGCCCCGCGCATTGACATGTGCATCAGTTGGATCACCAGGAAACCCACCGCCTTTGTGGAAATGGGCGTCACCGCAAACTCCTGCTCAAAGTACTCACACGTCTTCACCATGTTGATGCTGTACTTGGTGCGAATCGTGGTGCGGTCCCTGCCGTTGAGCTTTTTAAAGATGGTGTTGAAGCGAAAGTGAAAGCGAAGGTCCTCCGTGATCTTCACGAGCATGTGAAAGAGGCCGCAGGTGCGGGTGCACCGCGAGGCGGTTGCGCAGACCTCACGCAGGACGAGCGCCACCCGGGCGTTGTGCAAGGCGCTCTGCTCCGTGTCATGAAAGGCTCCCTGCATTTGGGAGAGGACGGCGGGAAAAAACTCTGCCTTCACAACACCGGAGTCGCCAGGGGCCTGCACGTACGCAAAGAGTTTCGCCAAGGCCTGCGCCGCCTTTTCTTCGTCCTTGAAGTGCACCTCCATCGCCCGCCGCACCGCGGTGCGCACGGTCAGCGGGACATCTGTTGGGACGATGATGTCACCGTACACCTTCTGCAGCAGGTGGAAGCAGACCACGCCGCTAAGAATGCAGTCAAAGATGTACCGCGGCACATCCTCCAGCATGGGAATGTCGGTGCGCACAATGGCATCCCAGTTGTTAAACATGCGTACTAAGTCGTGGACCCAGGCGGGGGCCCGATCGCCCACGTCGCCGTGCGGCTGCTGCGCCCAGCTGTCCGCGAACGCCTGAACGTTGCTGCGCAGCACCTCCGGCGTCTCTGTCCCCCACGAGGTGCGTTTGTCGCCAAAGCACGTCGCGCGCCGCTCCACCTCCGCCACGGCGTCGTCGAGTAGCGCCATCAGACGCTGCAGGGTCGCGTCGCCGCCATCCTCCACCGCCATCTGCACCAGCCCGAGCTGCTCCAGGCGCTCAATCACGTTTGTGCGGGTCAGCAGATTTCCCGAGGTGGCGTAGCGCACGTACGAGACGAGGAAGGAGGTGAAGGGCCCCACCACCTCCACAGCGGGCAACGCCTCCACGAGTTGATCCGCCTCAGCCTTAAAGTTCCGGAACACCCCGCCTACGGCCGCCTCCGCAATGCGCTGGTAGTCCTGCTGAAAGGGGCGGATGAGTTTCCGCAGCACCCGCGCTGACTCCGAGGCGTTGCGGCGCACCATCAGCGTCTTTTGCGTGTAGCTCATCACCTCAAACTTGAGGTGGCCGTCGCACGCCATCTCGACGTGGGAGGCCTCAAGCGACTTGTTCGTCCACTGCGACCGCACCCCGCTCACACGCACCTCCTCGTTGAAGACGTCGCCAAGCACCCGTTTGGTGATGCTGAGGTCGTGGCTCTCGCCGTGCGCCTCGCGGTTGGCGAGGTCGATGAGATTCATCACGAGCTCCGACTTCGTCGCCCCACTCACCGCGCGCGTCCGGGCGAAGGACTTCAAGACATCCGTCTTGCACGAAAAAAGGTCATCGCATATCATGTCAATAGACGAGAGCACCCCCTCGTTGGAGCCGCCGCTCGCCGGGGCCATGACCGGAGCCCCGTAGTCCTCCATGTCGAGGGTTGGCGTGAACATGTGCGTCGCCGCATCAACGTCGTCCGGCGGCGTCCCGGCAAACCCGCGCACTTCGTGGCCGTTATTGTTATTATTGTTATCAGCGGCGGCGGCGGCGGCGTTGTTGTTGTTGTGTGGAGCCGCACTGGCGAGCGTGGGTGCCTGCGGAGGCGGGGATGCCGCTGCGGCAGCAGCCGTCTTCTCCTCTGCGCGCGGCACCCGCGGATTCTTCGACCGTCGCGCGGGTGGCGGTGTGGCGCCCGTGACCGCCTCCGCCCCACGCCGCCCCCAGCGACGAGACACGCCGCCACTCCGCGCCACTGCCCTTCCAAACAGCCGCCACATACGTAATATATAATATATATATATATATATATGTGACTGTGTGTGCGTGTGTGACGGCAGAAGGTTTCCTCACACGGTAGAGGGTTTTCACTCCACCCCGCACACAGACGCAGGCACACATGAGCAAGAAAGAGAGAGAGAGAGAAAAGTTGGCGAGCCACCAACGCCATAACAATAATCATCACCATCAGCAAGAACAATAGCAGCACCGCCCACCCCAGAGAATCGAGCACTGCAGTCCATCGCCGTATTTACGCCCCCAAAAGGAAAGGAAAAAAAAAAGACGGAACAGCCACGCACGCCTCAACAGGAGGAAAAACGTCAAAGAAGTGCTTTTACAAAAACGTTAAATGCATTGAAGCGAGAAAAAAGCACCAAAAAAAGAAGAAAAAAAAAGAAAACCAAAAGCCGCTCTGCCTATAAGCGGCAATAACAAGCCATAAGCGAGTCTACACAGAACACACTAATACAAGCGCACGCACGAGTGCATCTACTCTAGTTGCCCCAACTTGTATATTCTGCATTTATACAAAATATATATAATATATACTTTATGTCTGTATGTATATATATATATATATGTGTGTGTGTGTGTATCTATTTGTGTCGTTATGCGCACGTAACACCTCCCTGGAAAGGTGTTTAGCTCATTGCCACAGGCGTGGGGAGAGGCCCCACAGGGTCTAGCCATGTGATGGCGGAGGGGTCGGGCGACTTCCCGCCGAACCGGTCTCCAAGCATCTCCGCAAACCCCGCTACCCACACACCGCTTGACCGATCCGTCACGCGCAGGTGGCACACAACGCCGTCCCGGTCGCCCGGCAGACGGGCCCCCGCCTCGGTAGGCCACGCAACCGTCACCAACTCCGGGGGCAAGCCCACAGGGACGTGCCTCTCCGCGGCCGCTTCCTTCTTCTCATGCGCGCACGCCCGAGGCTCCGTTGCCGTCAGCGGCACCACGACGGTGAAAAACGCACAGTTGGAGACGCCCTCTGCGCCATGCACACAAAACATTAAAACGGTGAGGCCCAGCGAACGGAGGTCCAGCGTCAACTGTGGACGCCTGCCCTGCTGACGCATGACGGTTTCCGTATAAATCGCACCCGCCGGAGCCACACGCCAGTGAACCACGTAGGAGGCGCAGGAGCCATTCCACTCGACGGTGCAGTGCTCCCTGTCGATGCCGCGGAGACGCGGGCAGCCCACAACCTCGACAACCACGCGCCTGTCGGACGGCAGGTGCACGGAGGTTCTCCCGACGGTAGCGGTACGACACTGCGGCGTGTCGGCGGAGGTCGTGGCAGGGATGCTGCTGCTGCCGGCCAGCGCCGTCGCCGCGTCCACACAAGTTTCCGCGCCGCCGGAACCCTCGTCGTTTCCTCGCGGCAGCTGGTGTAAATCGGAGGTCCACCTTACGTCAAGCCGCGGCAGCGGCGCGGCCGCTGCACCCTGTGTATTTGGAAATGTGTGGGAGACCGTATGCGCCTGCGACTCGCCCGCAGTGCTCCACAACTGCAGATATTCCCCCGACTCCGCAACGACGGCCACGCGCAGCGAGGCGCGCACGCAGAAGCACGGGGAGAGCTGCCCACACTCCCCCGTCTCCTCCCCAAGCCATGCGGAGTGGGCGGGCAGCGACCAACAGGCGCAGCTTTCAGGCGGAAGCGTCATTTGAAGCGTCAGAGCCTCCGCCATCGCATGAGCGTCGTTTTGCGCGAAACCTGTCACTGCGTCTTCCCTCTCGTCCCCTGCCACGGATGCCTGCACGGAACGCAGCAACTCACCGAGCGTGGAATCCGTGAGCTCATGAGGTGTTACGAGGCGAATCCCCTCGCCCTCCTCGTCGTCAGGGCCACGAACCAGCACAAGGTACGGGGTGGCGGGAAGCAGACCCCCAACACTCACAGAGTGGGCCGGCAAAAGCACAGGCAGCCTGCATTCCCGCCCATGCCCCTCCCGCGCCGCACAGCGTACTGTGACGCACACTTCGGCGCAGTTTGCCGTGCAAGAGCCTTCGCTCTCGGGAGGGGCCCAGGCGAGAGTGACCGACGTTGGTCGTAACGCCATAACGTGCAGCCCCTTGATGCGCGCCGGTAGAGATATGGGAGCCATGAAGCACTCAGAGAAAGCCTTTGGGATAAGCAGCACGGGGCGGGGCCACATGGCCGCCTCATCTGTCCTGCTGCAGAGCAACGCACAGCCGTAGTCATCGTCACTCTCCCGCAGCTGCACACGTAGTGCCATTGCGCGCTGCTTCGGGGACTTTGCCACGGGCACCTGCGCCACCACATCGACATCGCCGCACTCATCAACTGACAGTTCAAACTTTTTAACCTGCGCTGCTTCAGTCACAGTGACGTGCAGGAACACGCGCACCAGCCCCTGCACGTCGGCAAGAAGGCGGCGGAGCGACGCAAAGAAGTCCTTTGAGATGCGCACCTCCACGGTGCCTCCGGTGAGGGCGCCAACGGTGCAGTTGGCGTGGTCCAGCGGGGGAGGCTCCGGCAACAAAAAAATAGGCGACACCTCCGGAATAATGGCAGGGCCGTGAAACGAGACGCGAACAGGGGTGCGTGGGGGCAGCGCAAAACGCAACTCGTTCCGGGTGTGCAGCACAAACGACTCCGCGCCGAGCGTCACGGTGAGGGGGGAGCCGTGCCGCGCGGCGGCGCAGGTCCAGAGCATTATCACGCACCCGTCAAGCCTCGTCACGCACCGCAGGTCTGTGACGACAAAGAGGAGGGTGGGCTCGCTGCAGAGAATTTCCGTCGCGTTGACTCTCCAATTGGCCTCAACCCCCAAAACAACTGGCTGTCGAACTGGCACCTGTGAATAGCTCGCGACCACGACGCCGCCGGCTCCGTCCGCGTTGCTCAGCAGTGGCTCCTCTGGCATGAGCTTCACAGAAGTGAACGCATTCGCCTCTTCGCTCGCCCCAAGCTGCACGCGCAGTAGCAGGGAGGCCAAGTTGGAGGTCGCGCGCACCATCTCGCGCGGGGGGGCGGCGGGGAGGGTGACAAACCCCACACACCCCGTGCCCGCGCCAGTTGCCGTCCGCACCGTCGCCGTATACCGTGTGCGTGGCTGCAGGGCATCCAGAGTGATGCGCAGGGGGCCCAACCCAGGCACCACCCGCTCGCGACCGCAGACTTCCTCCCCAGGGCCGTTGCCGGTCGTGAGGCGCACGGTGAAGGAAGTGGAAGTGCCCTCCCACTCCAGCGTTACCGAAGTGGAGCGCGTAGAGGCACAGCGGATCTCACGCACGACCTCGAAAGGGCCCACTTCTTCCGTCTGCGGCGACACCGCGCGCCTCAGCCAGCACATCTGCCTGCCCCCGTTTCTCCCTAGCCAAAGTGTGGGACGAATCTCCACGTCAAAGGCGATATGCAGCAAAATCGCGTCAAAGCCCTTGACGAAGAGCGACGTCACAGCATGCTCCTTCTCGCTGTCGTCGTCCCGCGTTTGTACGCAGTGTGCGACGACAGCGGCATCGTTTGCAGGCGTTATGGTTGGCGTAACACGCAATCCCAGCGCCGCTGAGCTGGACAACACCGCCACGCCAGAGTAGATTGGGTAGGAGAAAGTCAGCGTAACGCCCGACTCGGACGGGACAGCGGCGTCCAGGCGCAAGCTTGACCGCCTGTGTTCTATACACGTGGCGAAGTACAGTTCAACCCCCTCCGACCACAGAAACTCCTTTACCAGGGACCGGGCCTCCCCCCGATCCACAGGCAGCACCTCCAAACTATAAATGGTGCAGGGCTGAAGATTCGTGATGACGTGGTGCGACGCAGCTTCGCCATCGGCAACGACACGTTCCTCGTCCTCCGAGTACAGGTATGACAGCGTGTTCCTGTCTCGCAACTCGTCCCCAGAGAGTGGGCGGCAGACGAGTTGCACGGCCCTTGCGGATCCACTCCACTCCACCTCCGCACTATTGTGGCTGACCGTAATGACATTGACACTTCCCACGCGCGCAAATGGCGTGGAAAAGGCAATCCCGTCGGCCACCAACACATCATCCTGGGAGACCCATAACTCTGGTGCCTGCCGCAGCGCGAGATGGACGACGCAGTAGACTTGTTCCAATGCCAAATCCCTGAATTCGTGCGCTATGCTCTGCACTAGCTCACTGGGCGAGGAGGCAGGAATGAGCTGACGCAGCGTCATTGTTTCCGTGGGCAGGTCCACGGCGAAGAGCACGATGTAGCGCGTCGTGGCCTCTTTGAGTGCTGGGACATGGTTTGCCGAGGCAAGGCGAATAACGGCAGTGCTGTACTGCAGGGACTCAAGCGCCAGAGTTGTGGAGGAGGAGAGTGACGAGGGTTGCTGCTTCATGGGATTAAAGGGAAATGTGCGAGAGAGAATTGCCGCCACGCTCGACGCATATGTCCCGTGCGCCGGGAAGTTTGTCCACGAGAGGTTCACAAATGGACGCAGGGTGAGGCGCGGGGAATACGGCGCCGCCGGGGGCACCGCCCACCACCCTTCGTCCTCTCTCCAGAGAACCGCACTGCCGACGTCGTGGCTCGGCGAGGCAAGCGACGAGAGGAAGGCGCGCTGCAGTCCCCGTATGGACCGCGCCGAGCACTCGGAGAGGATCCAGCTTGCCAAGAGCAGTCCACGCCGCTCCCCTCTGTGTGTGAGGTGCGTGTCATCCACGGCACACGTCGCACCCCAGCCCTCGGCATCGCCCTCAGTCAAGTTCTTCGACTTGATGGCGGGACGCAGTCGGCGTGGTTGCATCTCATCCAGCAGCGCCGCGGCAAACTGCAGACGCGTCCACCACACGCGCTCAGGATGTGTGGTGCCGTTTAGGCCCCCCAGCGACCGCAGCGGCACCACCTCGTAGTCCCCCGTGTCGAGCGCGTAGGCACACGCCATCAGACGCAGCCGCGTGTCTGCGGTGTCCAGCGTCTCCGACAAGTGCTGGGAGATGTACACAGGCACCTCAGACGCGTTCTGAAGTGGGCCCAGCAGCATATACTTGCCTGTTCTCCCCCCCGTCAGGGAGTCGCTGCGGAAGAGCGCCGCGAACGTCTCCCCAAACGTCGTGGAGGTCGTTAGCAACTCCACAGGACGTCCGCTGCTGTGGCCGGCCACCAGAAATAAAGCGGCATTCAAGTGGGAGGTGTCACGGATCATCTGCAGGGTTGCTTGAATCAGGCGTTTACACGCCCCTTCGGAGGGCATGTTGCCGTGAAACTCCGCCGCCTCCCCGGTGGTGTAGAGAAGCTGTCCTTGCGTAAGCAGGCAGAGGTCCAGCAGCACACGCGCCTTCTTCACCCGCTCTGGCGTGACCACGCAAAACACGGGAACCCGGTAGAAGGCCGGCCCACGCCGCACAGAGGAGAGGGAGAGTTCGTTGAAGCTGCCGGCGTTGGAAGGGGCGAAGAAGACAATCGCAGTACGACGCTCCGCAGCGGGTTCCCCACGAGCCAGACGACAGTGACGCTCATAGCGCCAATGCCGCAGCACCGTCCTTGCCTGTTTCCACATCTCCGCCATCGCCAACTGGACTGGGGGGCGGCGCTTTTTATTGCGCTGTCGTGCACCATCCCGGTTGGCCTCCCACTGACGGATGGCCGCTGGCGTGCGACTGGGCTGCACAACCACATCGCCGGCGAGGGAGACAAACACCACATCGTCCGAGCTGAGCTGTTCCAACAGCCACGTCACCTCGTCGATTGAGCGCCGCGTCCTACCGCTGCTACAGGCATGAAGCACCAGCAACGAGATCGGCGGCCTCCTCGTCCGCGGCGGGTCGGGCAACACCTCCTCATCCATCTCTGCGCCGGCACCACCACCACCACCACCGTCGCCCTTACCCGCGTGGGTAGCGGCCACACTCCTTATGCGCAGTCCCAGCTCTAGCCTGCCGTGGTCTGGCACCATGTGGCTTACCCTTTCAAAGTTCGCCTTGCAGCGGACTTGCAGGGCGCCCGCCACCACGGCGGAGGCATCGGTGAAGGACGTTCGCGCCTCCTTGTCCGCCCACGCAGACATGCGCTCCAGCAGCGCGGCAACGAGATTTTCGTGTCCCAGCCAGTGAACTTCAGACACAAGGTGGCACAACGTTGCCAGGCTGATGCGGAGCCCTATTTTGAGAAACAGGTCCACCACAAGCTCCTGGGGTGTATGCAGACTCCGCGACATTTCCTGCAATTCGCGAATCCAGCCGGGGTTGAGTTCGCACACGGCCGGCGCACACACGACATGGCGCCGAAAGCGCGAGAGATGCACACAGCAGAATTTCGGGGTAAGTTGTTGTACCCATTCTACGGGAGGGGTTCCCACCGAGGCTGTGCTTGAAGCCGGCGTGGCCTCATCCGCGTAGGTAACCAGCATAAATTGAGAGAACGGATACGTCTGCATTAGGTCCGCGAGGAAGGCTGCTTCATCGTGAGCGGCTTCCAACACAACCGCGGAGGACGCGGGCGGTTTGCCGAACGTGACCACGACCAGCGTCGGCGGCTGTGACACTGTCGACTCTACGAGGACGCCACCCCCAGTTGATCCCGCATAGAGGGTGTAGAGGCAGTCGGTGATGCCGCCGGCGCAGGGGTCATCGCCGAAATCTGGCATCACCCCTGACTTCTTCGCTTGCTCCTTCCTCTTCCTTCAATAGTCCCCAACTCCAGCAACGCCACTGAGTCAAGCGGAAGTCGCGGGCCCTTTCACGTGGAGGCGTGGCGTCCTCCACGGAGGGAGCATGAAAGACAAAACGTTTTAAACAAAGAGGGAATAAAAGAAGTAAGTACATGTGTGTGTGTGTGTGTGTGAATGGGACACGACAGGAGTAGCACATGTGTAGAAGAGGCGCGGCTGCGTGTGCATTTGGCGCAGGCCGATGTGGCTTGTGGCCCGGTGAGGGGATAGAGACGAAGAGGGGAGGAGGCTGCGGAAAGTTGCAGCAGCGCCAACAATCGTGTGGGCACTGAAACAGGTCGCGGCGGTGCGGCACGTTTTTTACTTCGGCTGAGGCGGCGGGCGTGTCAAGAGTGAGGTGAGTTGTGTGTACCGTATCTTGCCGTCCTTGTCAGGCTGCGCCCCGTCAAGCAAGAGGCGGGCCTTCTCCTCCCCCAGCACCCGCTGGGCCGTGGACTGCAGCTCCGCCAGATCCACCTTGCCCGTGCCTGCCGTGTCAAACTCCACGCACAGCTGCGAGAGCAACGCAAAGAGCCTTGCCTTCATGGCGATACTGGTGGCGTTCGCCTCTAGCTCCAGGAAGGCCGGGTTGCGTCGGAGCGACGGGAACACGGCGCGGACGTCGTCCAGGTAGACAAGCACCACCTCCTCGCTCTCCACCCCGGCCGGGACGTCCGCCTGCCCGAGCAGCGCGTGCACGAGGCGCAGCAGGGCGTCGCGCCGCGCGGCACCGCCAGGGCCCACCACTACCAAGTCTTCGCTCTCAAAGATGCGAAAGAGAACCTCGGGCAGAAATGCCTCGAGCACCACCATCAGACATCGGTGCACCTGGAGATTGTTTGTGGCTATCGGTAAGCAGAGGGCGGCGTAGACGAGGTCAAACTGCTCGGATGGCGTTTTGCGAAAGTCGTGCAGGGTCGCCTCCACCACAGCAGCCACGGCGTCGGCGGAAGCGAGGTCTACGCCGCCGCCTCCATCCAGCAGCTTTGCACCTCCCGCCTCGCCTCCACCGCCGCAGAGCGCCAAAAGGTCGAGGCAGGCATCCAGGAGTCGCTCGTTGTGCAGCGACGCGTCCCTGTGCGCCTTCTCGACGATGCGTTGGTGCTGCACGGTGTTTTTCGGCTGCGCTGCCGCCGCGCTACCGCCGCCGCCGCGTGTCGCGAAGGGATTCCAAAAGCACCGCCTGCTGCAGCAACACGAGCTACAGTCGTGGTCCCAGGCGCTAACGCGGTTCGCGATGGCCGGAATAAAACGCCACATGCGAAGTGCGCACGCGCCACGTAGCGACTCGTTGGACCCGCGCCGACGAAGGCTGAGCAGCGCAAAGGACATCTGCTTGTTTTTTTTTTATTTCACTCTGTGTGTGTGTGGGAGTGGATGCGTTCCACTCGCCCTTATCTCTTTACTGGAAGGGACCTCTTCCTTCCCCAGCTGCATGTGCGGGCGTCCATTTAAAATTAAAGGCAAAAAACAAAACAAAACAAAAACAAGAAAAAAGGGCAATAATAACAGAAGAAAACAACAACAATAACAACAACCGAGAGTCAAAGGGGGAACCAAGACGAGTTCCCCCCCGCAGAGAGCAGAGCAAAGCACATGGACGCAGTCGCACGCGTGACGGCAATGTCTGCCCACACCTCCCTTGTGCCAGCACCCATCGCTGCTCACGTCCCAATACCGCTTCCTCCACCCCATGGCACATCGTCTCCCCTCCAGGAGGCAGCAGCCCCGTGCTCTGTCAACCGCTCCCTCACGCGAAATTTGGTAGCTCGCTGAGAATGCTGTCAATGACGCCCCGGCGCTGCTGCAGGCGCCGCATGCGCTGACGCCATTCCACTTCGACGGCGTGGGGCGCGTGAGCCGCAGAGGGGACAGCCCCCACCGTGTCCCTTGACGTGTGGCTCAGCGGACTCGCGACCGCCCCATCTTCCCTAGTTTCAGTTTGGACTTTTTCGATAGACGATAAGTGCCGCCCAACACAATTTGGCGACATACGCAACGCGGTCCCGTTGCTGGCAGCATGACCTGGAGAGGTGCCGGGGAGCATTGAGTGCCCTTCTCCCCCGCGGCAGGAGGGCGACCTCGGCACGGACGTGGCAGGGGTTTGCGGCAGCGCATCCGGCAACTCGTCCACGTGGTCAATCAGTGCCCAGAGCGCCGCGGCGTCGTTGACGTGGCTCAGCACGAACTGTAAAAGCACCTCTCCAAGCTGCAGCTTGTCTTTTCTCTCCGCCATGCGTCGTAGACGGGCCTTGACGCTGGACGCGCTCACCGTAACCTGTTGCAGCTGCAGCCGGTACGCCTCAATGATCGTTTCGCGGTCCTCCGGTGCAGCGGAAGCCGCCGCGTTGGCGGTGATAGTCACCTGTGGCTGCTCTTCAGGGCGGGGAGACGGCTCCGCGCCTGTCTCACGCATCCAAAGAGCAACCTGGTTGCGGCTGGGAGTGTCAAGGCCATTCACGGCAGCCGCTTCATCTCCGGCATCGGTGGCGGCTGCAGCCACAACAGAGGCAGGTGGCGAGGGGAGTGCGCCCTCCGCATCAAGCCGCGCCTCTGGCGTCGACGCCACACGCACCGCTTGTGACTGTGACTGCGGCTGTGGCTCTCTTGCGGGGCTCAAGGCGAGGCCGGAGGTGTTCGTCTGCTGCAGTGCCGCAGAGCCGGGCGAGAGGGCCGCGGCGCTTGTCTTCTGCAGGGCAACAAACCAGATTTCCAGCAGTCGGTCGGCCTCCACAGACATAGTAAAGGAGGCGAACGTCTCCATGCCGAGCTCCGGTGGCTTCTTCGGCGTCACGGGCGTGACCACAATGACGGGGCGGCCGCTCACGCGTGTCTTTTGCACATCCGCGCGGTGCAGGTAGACGGCGCCGCGGCATTTGTCCTTGGAACCGTCGCCGTCGAAGATGTAGAGCAGCGACCACGCCAGCACAAAGTACCGCTGCACCCATGCCTGCAGCACGCGGCCCCGCCTGGAGAGCTGGAGCCCCGCCCCCGCGTGCACGACGGCGCTCCCCCAATGTCGCAGGTAACTGGAGAGCGGGAGGCGCCCCAGCCACGCCTCCTCCCAGCGCTGACGGTGCAGGGCCGAGGCGAAGCCGATGCTCCTCTCCACATCCCGCCGGATCGACTCCGCGGTCACTACCGCGTCCGTCGGCCGCGTCGTCGCCTCCAGAGAAGACCCTCCGCACTTGTCATGCGGTCCCCGCGATAATGCGTCGGAATGGGCGCCGCGCAAACCGTCCGCATCATCCGCTTCGCGAGCAGCGGGTGTCGCGAGGGGCGCCGCGCCACTTTTTGCGAGCCTCGCGTGTTGCGGAGGATCTGCGTGCATCCCGCACCCGCAGAAACGCTCCTCTCCGTTCCACACACCCACCACCTCTGACGCCAGTGGACAACAGCCGCAAAGATAATGTATATACATATATATACCAGCGGCACGGACGAAATCAAGAAGGAAAGAGAGGGGAAGTTAGGGGGAACACGCAACCGCAAAAGAAAAGTACACACGCAAACAAAAAAGAGAGGAGAAATGGGGGGAGAGTGGCACACATCTGTCCACATGACGCAGGCAAAGCGCAGGGCAGAGGAGCATGTGTGCTGCAGGTACTACCTGGAGCCTGCTGGGGGCGTCTTCTCACGAGGCTGGCGGTGCGGTACCCGCTGCCACCGCCTTCCAGTGGTCACGCTCCCGCCTCATTGTGCGCACTTCGCGACGCAGCGCGTTCATCTCCTCGTCCAACCGCGCCGTTTCCTCGCGCAACGCCTCCTCTATGATGCGGTCGTCGTTCCCGTCCGCCCCCACAATAAGCCCCAAGCCGGACGTCAGTGAGGGTGTGGTGGGGTTCAGGCGCAAGGAAGCATGCAGGGAAGTAATGAGCTGCTGCTGCTCCTCACACTGTTTGTTTAACGTCTCACAGGCCAACGCACGTTCCATCGCCTGCTGTCGCCAATGCTCCAACTCCATGCGGGCGGCGCGCAAAGAGGAGACCTTGCGCTCACCGACGCCCCTTCCAATCCCCTCGCATGTCGCCGCTCGCCGCCGCACGTTGTCAAGCTCCAGCTTCGCCGCCACCAGCTCCCGCCGCGTCTGCCCCAACTCCTCCTCGCGCTGCCGAAGACACTCGGACAGCCGAGAGACTTCTGCCCGCAAGGCCGCAATGGTGGCTGGGGCGTCCTCCGCCGTCAGGAGTGCGTGCCGCTGCACATCCTGCAAACGGCTGCGAATGGCGGATGGACGCGGGCCCTCAAGTGGCGCTGCTTGCCTGCCAGCATGCGTGTCCTCCCCCGCCGTGGCCGCCCCACTGGACCCCACGCCTGCGAGTTCCTCGATGAGTGCGCCCCAGCAGTCTGAGAGCGCGCCGTACGCGTCGCGGACGGCGTTCAACTCCGTCCGCATCCGCTCACACGAGAGCTGCGACGTGGCAAACTGGGCCTGCTGCTGCTGCTGCTGCTGGAGAAAAGCCCCAGTTTGCGCCAGCCGCTGCTGCAGCTCCGACACGCACTTGTCAAGTTGTGTGACGCGCTCCTTCACAAGACCCACGCCTTCGTCCGAGGTGGCGGCTGCGACCGCCGCTGCGTGGGCTGCCGGCGCCGCCTTCCGCGCCTGCTGCAGCTCCGCCTCCAACAAGGCCAGCCGCTGCTGCAGCCGCGCGTTGAGCTCCATGAGCGCCGCGTAACTGCTGAGTTCGTGCGGCGGGGGGGCGTTGGCGGGCACCGCCCCGGAGCCGTCGTTCCGGTGGTGCGTGTAGGAAGCGGCAGGCCCCACTGCGCGCAGTCTCCCCTCCAGCGTCTCAACCTCCTCCCGCAGCCCTCCCTCTTTCTCCCTTGAAGCCCGCAGCCGACGCTGAAGCGACGACACCTCATCCTCGCGGCGGTCGTACGCCTCTTTCGTGGCGCGCAGTTCGTCCAGAAGCTCCCGCTCACGTGCGGACTGCGCGAGGTTCTCCTCCCGCAGCTCACACACACGCTGCTGCAAGGCGTCATTCTCATTGCGGGCGGCCTGCAATTGCGCCTCCATGAAGCCTGCGGCCGTGACCTGCCTCTGCATTCTTGCCACCTCCCGCTTGCACGCCTCCACCTCGGCCCTAGCCGTGCTCAACTCGGACTCCGCCGTGCGCAGGTCGGCCTCAAGACGCCGGCGCCACAAGCGCCCCGACTCGCCTCGGGCCTCCTCCTCTCTATCGAGGCACTGCCGGAGGCGCAGCAGCTCACCGCGCAGGCCTTCCCGTTCCTCCTCCTCCCCCTCCTCCTCCTTCCCCCATTGCGTCTGCTGCTGCGTCTCAGTGCCGGTGGCACGTGACAAATACAACCCCCTCACCTCTATTGGATGCAGCCGCTGCTGAAGGCTTCCAATGGCCGTATCTGCCGCACGTTGCTGCAGGCGACCCTCCTTTGGCCGCTGCCCGGGCTCCACCACCTCCGGGGCACCACTCCCACTGCCGTTATCAATGCTGCCACTAGTCGTACTCCCCTTCACCGCCGTCGATTGGGCGGCGCCGCAGCGCTTCTGGAGATCTTCAATAGTTCGCTCCTTGAGGCACACATCCGCGGAGAGCGTCTCACAGCGTGCATGGATCGCGGCCACCTCCGCCGACACCGCATCTATTTGCTCCTGCGCCTGCTGCTTTGCCTGGCGCAGTGAGCTCAGCTCCAGGCGAAGGTTGCTGATAATCGTGTCGCGGGAGGCAATATTCCGACGAAGCTCCAGCAGCAACTTTGCCGTCGCGCCGCGCTCACCACCGCCGCCTTCGGCTGACCGTGGCCGCGAAAAGCGCAAGCGAGGGCGTGACATTTGCGACCTCGCCGCGCCCGGAGCCACCGCCCTCCTCCGCACCCGCCGATTCATTTGCCTCCCGGCGCTTTTTCCGCGTCAGGGAGAGCAGCGACTTGAGCCGCTCCAACTCCTTCGACTTTTCCTCCAGCTCTCGGCGCAGGCGCGCGACTTCGTCGCCGCGGAGCCGCAGCGTCTTCTGCGCGTGGACGTAGCTCATGCGCAGGTACTGCAGCTCCTCATGCAGCGTCGCAAACTCACGCTTCTGCAGCGAACGGTAAAGCTCAAACTGCTGCTCGGGGGTCTCCAAGGCCGGCTTCAGAGGCGACGCCGACAGCGCCGGCTGCCGCACGGTGCGGGTCACCCTCGGCGGGCTGCGGTTCCCGCTCTTTCCGCTGCTGCCGCCCCGTGTCTCGCAGCCGCCGCCCGAGGACGGCGAGGAGCTCAGCCTTGGCAGCTCCCACTGATGTGCCGGCTGCAGGCGCCTCGCCGGCCTCTCCCCACGCACGCGAGGCTCCTGCTGCCCCGCCTGCTGCCCCATTCCGTGGGGGTCGCGCCGCCGCACCTCCTCCACCTCCACTTCAATGACGTCGCCGCCAGGGCTCCGCACTGCCGCACCGGTTCCAGGGCCCGGTGCCTCGACATGCCTCGGCATACTTTACTAAGCCCACCCGCACCGCAGGAGGAGAGAGTGTGTGTGTAGCGCGCGCCGCAGTGTGGCCTCGCCGCTCCCACCATCCTGCCGCCGCGAAGCAACCGGTACAAAGGGCGAGAGAAGAGGGAAATAAAGCACCAACACACGCAAGAGCACAGGATCGACCAAACGCAC